TCACTGACAACCGATTTCAAACCGACAGTGCGAAAAGGAGTTCTTCAACCAGCATCCTGTTATGGGGTCAAGTGACCGATCGATATTCGTTGTGACCAGCGATAACTTATCACTGATCTCTTTATCTGCTTTAACCAGCAGATTGCGGTTCATATCCACGCTTGGCAGACGTCTTGAACAGAGCCTATGTTTGCTTTTGTTCAGGATCCACTGGAGTTCTAGGTGACGGACGGCCCTTACTGTACTATTGCCAGTAAGCTGAGGTGCAGCCACCTCGACTGTGACTGTTTCTGCCCAGCAACGTCAAAATACAAACAATCGAATGCTGTCGAGAGAGACGATGCCATATGGCGTGAAATCGACCAAACTCATTGACGCATTGAAAAAGCCTTCTCGTTTGGGGCAAAAAAGTGACTATGACAGTAGTTTGTTTATTTGTTTCAGTTGCCACATGAGACAGTGTCGAACTGCGTAAAAGTACGGTAATTTACTTGGTGAACAGTGTTTGTTTTCGCACGTGGCCAGAACCATTGTCAATCGGTCATTAAGCAAACGCGCCAATTCAGGTCAATCGCACCGCTCTGCTAGAAGCTGGCAAGAAGCTCTATTAATAGACTCACAACCGGCAAGTTACAAACAATGAAATCGGAAAGTAAGTAGGTTTCGAACGACAGAGACCGTCTCGTTCGAGCGATGAAATGCGAATGGCAAAAATGAATGGGCAAATACTGTTAAAGCAATAAACAATTGGCAACTAGAACCTTAAATCATCTGAACTGCTGGCTGTGACAGTAATTTATGATGAACGATGATTTATGCACGTGTACAGTAAACGATAACTCCTACAGTACCAAATTTCAAAACGTACTGCACCGTCCCCTTGCACCCAGTCGCCTAGGGGCTCATTTAAGCAGGCCATGGCTCCATGGTTGCTGACCACCTGCAGTGCCAGATACATCGCGTATCGTTTTGTTCGCCACAGCTACCTCGCACTCGTTATGAACGACATTTCAGGAGCTAGTACTCCTTTATGCTGCCACATAATCATTCACGCATGTTCGTGTGCTGAGTGTACATCAGAAAATGCACAGACCGTGTACGGATAAAGTACTTTTAGTTGATGTTTCGAATCTATTGCTTTTTGACATAATTCAGTGACCTCTCCTCCCATCTATGAAGGGTGAATGCTATAATATCTATAACTTTATAAATCAGTGTTAAATGGCACGTCGCTGAAAGAAAACTAGGTTTTACGATGAATTACAACGCTCCTTGGACATAGCTGCTTAGGGTGATATTATGAGTCATCCATGGTGGCTCAAACTATCCTTAAGGTCGTTAGAAGCAAGGCACCAAAAAAACTCGCCAATAAAGTTCAGAGAAACAACGCCATATGCCATGATGACTTGTTTTCTAATTGTAACTATAAAATAACCTTCAAATAACTAAGCATGTAACTAGGCATTGTCTTCAAGCAAGGAAGGTGCTTCGGCAAATTTGAGTCAGTTAAAGATTTATGAATTATACAAGAGCAGTCACTACCAGGTGGTGTAATTAATTATCATCGTATCACTATCAGAAAGCCAACTTGGATAAACGAATCAGTCACAGATTTGCGTTCAGGGGAGAAAGTTCCATCCATGGTGCAAAAACCTATGCCTTATAGTCAAATTGTTGAAAACCTATAAGTACAGCTAATAGAGCGAGGGTGATGTTCAGTTTGAGCGGACATGGCTATCCATGAATGATCTATATTGAGAGAGAATCGAGCTTGAAAATGCACCTACAGGCATCTACTTCATTTCTGAAAAAAAAACAGCGTACAGGTCGGCACCTTTCAGCAGTGAGAGGTCTCAAAACTCATTTGTACAGCTTCGTGTCCCGCTGTATCCGCAGTACCCTCAAAAATGCGATTGTAGCAGAGAGTGACAACGGAGAAAATGTCTGAGAAAGATTTTTAAAGAACTCGGAGACCAAAACATCGCCTCATGAAATGAGTCAAAACTGAACAGGAAACGTGTTCAAAGCTTCTCTCACATGGAAGCATTTATTGACCTTAGACCTCAGAACTGGTGAACAACGCAAAATCCAAATATATCTTTCTGATCTATGCTTGTTCACCAAGAGAAATGCAGTCTCTGTCAAAACAGCAAACGTTGCCTGCCAAATATCAATTTGAAATACTGTCACTAAAAGACAGACATGATAAATTTTAGCTGCCTTGCCATTCGAGTTCTGGCTGATAGCCTAACATTGCAATGACAGCAGCAGCAACAAGAAAGGCTTCAGCGAAACCGCAATTTCTTCCACTAGCTTTCCCTGTACTTGAAGTTCTTCTTCTGCAAGTTGTTACTGTAGCGTTCCCCCATTACTCTGCATCCTAGAGCAACAGCGAATATAGCGATTTGTATGAATATATTGTTTTCTGGTGCATGTTTCTACTTAAATACGAAATTTGTAACGGTTTATTAAGAATAGATTGACGAGCCATCAATTAACGTTTAATATGACTAGGGCTTAACTTTGTATATTTAGTTGCTACTTCTATTTGACGTTGACGTTAGCCTTTTACTATCTATCGGATGCTTTTAGCAACATGATAATCAATATATTAACAGCTCATTAATGTATATTGATGTGTATAAATACAAATAAATTCAATTCATTCATTTTCTTTAATCTTTCAGTTCGTATCTTCTTCGAAAGGGTCAAAAATATGGGCAAAATCATAATGTGGATTATGCTATGCAAAACAGAGAGAAAAACTTGTATCAAATTGATCTAAATCTATCAGTGATTTTTAACAGACCCTGCTGCATAATATCGTTTTTGAGAATTCGTCCAAAAACACAAATTCTTCATGAGCCTGTGATTGCACATGAGGCTCATGCCAGTGTCTGCCAATGCGTTTTGTTATACTCGATATTCCAGCGTTTCGCTCGAATAATGTAATGTTCTCTGTTCCTCGTAGAGAACTTCCTGCGCCATGAATCTACTGGCGCAAGAAATAGGTTTTATTCTCGATGAAACTGACCTTTGGTTCACAGGCATAAACAACCAAAGCGCTGTCAATTTTCCAAAGATTTCACTGCGAGTTGTGCATTCCGCTAGGCCATATTCAGGCTACTAAATTGCGAAACCTCAGAACCTCAAGTTTACTCAAGTCTAACTTACTTTTGCGAGTTCATCTTGGCTAAGTAAATCACTGACTAGGAGTATGAAGAAATGAAGATTCGTGGCATAAAGATTCAACTGCCATTTTTGTTTAAAATTCTTCCTTTAAAAGAAACATCTTAGACTGGCCTGCTGTTCATCAGAAAAATGTTTACACAACACATCATTAAACAGTGAGTTAAGACAGAAACGAATGGGACGAAAATACCCTTTGAGGAGAAGAAGCAGGGAATGGAAATTTATTGGTTAGAGTTAACGTGAAGAGCCAAACATTCACCTGTACACACTGGTCGCCAAGTTTACGTGTGTGCAAAGTTCAAACGGGCAAAAGTACAGAACAACAGGAATAAAGACCAAACTATTCTGGGATATCTGGACGCAAGTCTTAAAATCCTTCAACCTCACACACCTCATAGTACCCTTCCAGGAATGTACAAGTCAATAAGAAAGTGAGCAACCATAAAATTTGCATGCCAATTCTCTCAAGCCTCTCACTCAAGTCATTCGTTCACCCACTCTTCGCGGCCCAGAGTCTTAAATCAACTACGCTTAGCATAAGTACGTCAGAATCTGTCGTGCTCAACCATTTGAGGTTTGTGAGAGTTACTCCACAGATGATAGACCATGAAATATGTCAATTACAAAAGTTCTTTCAGTTTCTTACAAAAATTAACATTCGCGTAGAAGGACGAACATTAGTTTATCAACTTGACCGACAGTGTTTACTATCAGCAAAATATTAGAATATTACGTCATCATACCTCAGAACTGCACAGAGGAGGGAAGTGCCTACGATGGTGTTATCTCTGTCCAAGTTATCTTTGCCGTAATGTCACACACCGCATTCACTACGGTAGCACTGGTATAAACCAAAATGTTAAAGATTGACACATTAAGCAGTTACATTTACATATAGTTGTTTGCAATTACTTATATTTATATTTCCGGTGGTGGGGTCGCTGGTAGAAAACAGAAAA